CTGGATGGTGCTCAATTGTAGTACAAGCTTAGTACTGGAAGAGCCTCGTCTCGGATGCTGTCGGGATGATGTCGGTGCTAGAAGTGTCTCCTGTCCGATGCTGGCTGGATGGTGCTCAATTCTAGTACAAGCTTAGTACTGGAAGAGCCTCGTCTCGGATGCTGTCGGGATGATGTCGGTGCTAGAAGTGTCTCCTGTCCGATGCTGGCTGGATGGTGCTCAATTGTAGTACAAGCTTAGTACTGGAAGAGCCTCGTCTCGGATGCTGTTGGGATGATGTCGGTGCTAGAAGTGTCTCCTGTCCGATGCTGGCTGGATGGTGCTCAATTGTAGTACAAGCTTAGTACTGGAAGAGCCTCGTCTCGGATGCTGTGGGGATGATGTCGGTGCTAGAAGTGTCTCCTGTCCGATGCTGGCTGGATGGTGCTCAATTGTAGTACAAGCTTAGTACTGGAAGAGCCTCGTTTGGATGGTGCTGGCATGTTTCTTCTGATTGTTTTTTTTTCCCAAACGTGCAGGCCAAGCTGCGAGCCGCTTTGGAGAATGCTTTGGCCGAGCTTGACAAGGCGCAGGGGTGCTGATGAATGAATTGACCGAATTGCTCTAAACATCAGGACGACGAGAGGGAAGCCAAAAGAAGGAAGACAGCCAAGACAGTAGAGGTAGTTGACTTGAGCAAGGAAGAACCACAGGCAGTGGTTTGCAGGCAGAGCAGCCAAGACAGCCTAGACAGCAGCCAGACAGCTAGAGGAGTCAAGAGGCAGGCCAGCTTTCACACACCTTCGCCGAAGAAGCGTCTGTTCAGTCCTGACAGCAAGGGTGGAGACAGCCAGAGCCCAGGCAGCCAGAGCCCGGGCAGCCAGAGCCCAGACAGCAACCCTGTGCAAAAGAGAAAGATAGAACAGCTCAAAAAGACCTTAGGCCAAGGCAGTCCAGTCTACTACAGGCTAGACTACCTTTGGGGCAAGGCAGCAAAGGCAGAGGCCAAGCCCGGCCTTTCGCCAGACACAGCTAGTGACAGACAGAAACAGCAGCAAGCTGAGAACATGCAAAACCTGCAGCAGAAAGCCAGCCAAGCAGTGGAAAAGCTCGAACTGGAGCCAGCTCTTGGAGTTCTTAAAAAGAGACGGGGAGGCAGACCGCTAGGCAGTAAGCAGAAGACGAAAGCGGTGCCGCATCTTCGCAAGAGGCGATGTGATGTGACAGCCAGAGGCAAGCTTTCCATGATGGAAGAGTTAGACAGAGCAGCTGTAACTCACAAAAGCAAAACTGCAGCCAGGCAGCATGTCATGAGGCAGTATGGTGTGAGCGCGTCTTTTTGCTTCAACCTGCAAAAAGACTATCACAGACAGAAAGTCACTAACTTTCTCGCCAGCACGGGGCGAGGACACAGTGCCAGACAGACAGGCAGCCATTTGGGTCTCGTGCACCTCGTCAGCAAGTCAACAGGCAGGAGACTGCCTGACCCAGGCAAAGTGCTGGGTAGGCCAGACTTTCTCCTTCCAGTCTGGTCTGAGACCCGTGCTTGGGCCTTGAATGAGGAAGCCAGCCAGCACGTCCTGACGAACGAAGACGTGCTGATGGACTTCCAAGAAAGGCTCGACAAAGCCATTGCAGTCAGGCAGGCAGAAAAGGAAAAGGGTCTTCTTGACCAGACAGGTGAGAAGGAGCTGGCAGCCATGGTGCAAAAGAAAGACACGCTAGCCAGCAAGCCAAAGCAGAGGAGCAAGTACCAGATCCAGCTCCTCGCAAAGTGCGGTCTTCGAAACAGATCCTGCCAACAGACAGCCAACCTGAGCAAGGAGGATGAGAAAGCCAGGCTAGACTTGTCCTGGCGACTTTGGGACTTGCTTTTGGAACAGGCAGCCAGTCCCACGCCACAGCCGGACTTGCCTGTAGCAAGCCCAGAGCAGTGGACGACAAAGCGAGCAGAGACAGCCATCACCATGTCAGATCAAGTACCTGCTTGGCTCAAGCCAACGCCAGGGAAGGCGTTGACATCGGTGGTGCGCTTGAAGCTAGCCAGCGAGCAAAGCAAGGCCAGGCGAGAGAACAGGAAAGCCAGACAAACACAGCCAAAGGCCAAACCTGAGGCCAAAGCCAAGGCCGCACCTTGGCGGTTTTGTTGGGTGGATTCGAAGTGGACTTTCGGGTTTAGGGTTTCCTTAAACCCCAAACCCAAAAGCCAAAGCCTAAACATTCATGCACCTTCATGCTTTCGAAACCAACCGAGGCACCGAGGCTGGCATGTGCTTCTCAGCCCCAGGTGTGGCAGCAAGGTGGCGAGTCAGCTTGGTAGCTAGACAGGCAGCGCAGAACTTCTTTGCGCCAGACAGACAGCCAGTGGGTGTCGTTATGCCCACGATACTTGTCACATACGGCAAACACTGCAGACTTGAAAACATCAGCCAGGAAGGCACGTGGATCAAGTCCGAGTGCTTCCAGGTAGGCAGCCAGACAGTCAGGAGAAGGGCAGGCCAGCGAGTGCCAGGACAGGTCATGCGCACTTGGCGCAAACTGCGACAGACCCAGCCACACCTGTTTGATGGCAGTGTCAGGGTGTGGTGCCAGCCAGCCGCAGTGGTAGATAGCGTGATTTACAGATGGCAGCTAGAGCTCGAGTCAGAAGAGCACAGCCAGGCAGTGCAGCTCGTCGACATGTTCGGCGGAGCATGGACGACGGAGTCCATGCACGCCGCTGCACTCCTGCAGCGAGCTCAGACAGGCATTGCAGCCGGGTGCACCGGCTTGACCCAGGTGACAGACATCGGGTTCGCCCAGCCAGCCAAGGCAGCTCTCAAAAGGTGGCAGGAAGACTTGAAGCAGCGCATGCGAGAGAAAGCCAGACAGCAAAAGGTGCAGTGCACCTATAAGACAGGCCCGGCAGACATTCTGGAGGCAGCTAGACAGATGCACGCCAGGATGGTGCAGTTGAATGAGACAGAGAAGACCGTCCTTCGCTGCATGCGGCAGGGAGGCTGGTTCCACTTCCGTCCAGACAGTGAAGGCAGGCTTCAGGACTGTGGCAGCCAGGAATGGTGTCTGGACTTCCCTGAAGGCAATGCCAAGCTAGGCAGCGACCACCTCAGAGACAGGTCTCGTTGGGTGGACAAGACAGGCAAGGTGCTTCCGTGGACAGAGGCAGACAGCAAGACATTTGATGAATCCAATGCATTCGAACCCGAGTCTACGTACCTGCTTGGCCAGACAGACAAGACAGGCAAGGTGCTTCCGTGGACAGAGGCAGACAGCAAGACATTTGATGAATCCAATGCATTCGAACCCGAGTCTACGTACCTGCTTGGCCAGACAGACATACACTTGAGCTTCCGAGCGAAGCCCAATCTCCTTGCTCAGTCAGAAAGAGAGCTCAGAGAGGTCATTCTGAGACAGGTCCACCCGAACGAGAGGAGACGGCTTTTCCAGGAACAGGTGGACCAGACAACGAGCCAGACAAAGACAGACAGGCAGCAGAGAAAGGAAAAAAGGATCAAGAACGCGAAGCAAGACAGAAAGAGGCGCAAACTTTTGAAAGAATGGAGACAGCAGCAAGCCAGCAAGACAAAGAAGCAGGCTCTGCAGTCTGTCGTGCCCAAAGTGGGCCAGAAAAAGAAGAAGAAGGCAGACAGAAAGAAGCCCAGCCAGGTCAAGAAGCAGCAAAAGAAAGACCAGGCGAAGAAGGCTCAAAGACGGGCAGCCGAGCCAGGCAGTGAGGGACACTTGCATGGCAAGCAAGCTCGAGTGATCGGTGACCTGGCTCCGCTGCTGGGCAAGATCGTGGTGTGTGGAAAGCAGACAGACAGCCAAGTCCTGATCAATGCTGACGGAGTTCATGAATGGGTCAGCCACACAGACATTACGCTGGACGTCAGAGACAGACAGTTTCCGCTGGTTTTGGATTTGGAGTCTTTCCCCAGTGCTGCAGCCAGCGAGGAAGCGGCAGCCAGTGCAAAAGATTTGCGGCTTTACAAGCACGAAGACCTGCTGACAGACAGCCAGCTCGAAGCTGGCATCAGGGAGATGGCATACCGACTCTCCCATGGAGCAGAGCCAGCCAGCCTGTGTGTTTTGCGGCCAGCAGAGGCCAAGCAACTTATCCAGACACATACACTCAAGGCAGCAGCAAAGACAGCCATGGACAGCCAGGCTGGTTTGGTCTTGGCAGTCGTGCAAAGCCAGCCTCCGAGACACTGGTCCTTGCTGGTGGTCGAGACAGTCAGAGACAGCCCCGAAGCGAAGGTCAGGTACTATGACACGTTGCCCGGTGAGGCAGCCTACAAGGAAGCCAGTGCAGTTTTGAAGGTGCTGCTGCAGACAGCCAAGAAACAGGCCCAGCCTTTGCCTGCGCCAGTCAGTCTGCTCAGACAGACAGATGGCTTCTCGTGCGGCCTCTGGGTCTTGCTGTATATGGAGCAGGAGTGGCGGCGGTGGATGGGTGAGGCCCCGCAGCCACTTGTGAAAGACCTGCCAGCCAGAAGCAGCCAGCTGAACCGCTGGATTCAGCTGCTGCTGCGAGGCAAAGAGCTAGCCAGACAGAAAGAGAGTCAGCAGCAAGACAGCCAGACAGCAGGAGACACCATCGTTTTTGGCTGTGCCCACTGCAGTTTTGCTCTGAGTGGCTGCCTTCGCTGCAACAGAACGCAGTTTTTGAAGTATATGAGTAACCAGGCACACAAAAAGGCAGAGGAGGCAGCAAAGGCACCCGAGGCCCAGGCCAAGACCAAGGCCAAGGCCAAAGCAAAGGTGAAGGCTCTTGAAAAGCCAGGCAGCTCAGGAGCCATCTCGTGCACAACTAATTAAATAATGAATTACATCTCGAGTTTTACATTAATTAATTACAGTAATTACTTCTTCGTACAGGATGTGCCTCGCTTCGCATGCTGGCTGGATTGTGCCAAATCGTAGTACAAGCTTAGTACTGGATGTGCCTCGCTTCGCATGCTGGCTGGATTGTGCCACATCGTAGTACAAGCTTAGTACTGGATGTGCTTCGCTTCGCATGCTGGCTGGATTGTGCCAAATCGTAGTACAAGCTTAGTACTGGATGTGCCTCGCTTCGCATGCTGGCTGGATTGTGCCAAATAACACCTCCACAACACCTCCACAAAACCTCCACAACACTTCCACAATACCTCCACAACACTTCCACAACACCTCCACAACACCTCCACAACACCTCCACAACACTTCCACAACACCTCCACAACACTTCCACAATACCTCCACAACACTTCCACAACACCTCCACAACACCTCCACAACACCTCCACAACAACTCCACAACACCTCCACAACACTTCCACAACACCTCCACAACACTTCCACAACACCTCCACAACACCTCCACAACACCTCCACAACACCTCCACAACACCTCCACAACACCTCCACAACACCTCCACAACACCTCCACAACACCTCCACAACACCTCCACAACACCTCCACAACACTTCCACAACACCTACCACAACACCCAAATCAGCAATGAGCTTGTCTGCAGCACTCTCGACGCAGAGTGCCCAGGGCTTTTGGTCACCCAAAGTCTCGGTGCTCAAAGCTTTTGGTCACACAAAGTCTCGATTCCAGGCGGGGAAAGAGCTTAAATGACGAGGCCGGGGATTGAGCCGCGGACCTACTCCAATGGGAGTCGTCCGCCCACCCCTTAGGCTATCAGAGGATTGGAACGGAGAGGGCGATGGACCATCTCCAGTCACGGAGAGATCACAATTGTCGCAGCCCGGTGGGGTCTCCGGTGAGTGTTCCGAGTCGCCACCCCCTTTTGCTGAGCCTCCCAGTGCCGATGCCCAGAAATTCTGGGAATTGCCATGTGTAAGGTCGGTCGCCAAAAACCTGGCCGGCAGGGTTTTCATGGTCTAGTGGTTAACGCCGTGCCTGCCAGGAGCTGGAAGGCTGCCCGACAGATCCTGGGCAGCACGTGACGAGCGACAAGGGCATCTTCGGAAACAGGGTGGATTGTGCTTTGGAGTAATTATTGGAGGTGCTTTCCGAAGGATGCTGCATGGACTCTAGAATCATACACTGAACAGAGGACCCCATGGTCTAATGGATAAGGCGCTCTGTGGGTAAACCACGGAAAGATGGGTGGTTCAAGTCCACCTGGGGTTGTTCTCATGCCAAGTCGCAGTACAAGCTTAATTAGTACTGGAACCGCATCCTTCCCAACCCTGTGCGGCAGGGTCCCGGTAGCGTAGTGGTTAGTACATCCTCCCTTGACCCTACCAAGCAGGGAGTCCCCAGCGGGCCACTAAGCGGCCAACGCGGCCGGGCCATTTCTGACCATTGGAGGTGTTAGCCGCTGCTCTTTGTAGTTTTATTGTAGGCTAAAGTTCAGGGCTGTAGGCAACACTAAGCCCTTGCTTGGAAGCTTGTCCTGGCTGACTGGAAGCTGCCTTGAAGTGGACTCTGTTCTGAAGAAGCTGCCCATGGAGAACGACCTGATGTGGCGGCCACTCATCTGTGCAAGAGCAAAAAGCACAATGTCACAGAGCCGGATCCGGCAGACCATGTGGACACTGGCAAATAATCCACAAGTGACAGGGAGACTGGCGACAACTGCAACTCACCGAGAACTCCCCTCGGGCTGCGTCTTTTTTGGGTGGTTTCTACTGGCTGATGCCTGCTGATGCTGGATGAACTGGCTGGCTGCGACTTGCTCATATTCTCAGTACTGGAAGTGTCTCCTGTCCGACTGCAGTGAGGCTTGCCCTGTGGCTTCCTCCAATGGTGGCCGCTGGACCCTGCAAGTCAAAACCAATTTTGGCTCAGTGGTTAAGGAGTGGGCTTGTTGCCCGAGCCAGAGATCAGAAGAATTACCTTTACTGGTAAATCAGCGCAAACCGCACGGAAGTAGGTTTTCGATGGTCTTCTGGTTAAGACTGGCGGGGCCTGCTTGCCTTGTTTCGCATGCTGGCTGGATTGTGCCAAATCCTAGGACAAGCTTAGTACTGGATGTTCCTCGCTTCGCAAGCTGGGCAGGATGGTGCTGACTTGTAGTACGAGCTTAATTCATTCATTATTTACTGAAACATAATCAGTTTCGTCAGATAATTACTTGGTTAGTTTGAGTTTTATTTTTCACTTAGTTCTACTTTGTTCTACTTCATTTGTTAATTATCTGGATTTCAACATCTCTCATAATTTCCACAGACCGCTCGCACCAGCCGGGAAGGAAAGCTGACTTGAAAGGAAGTTCCGCAGGCAGGACTTCATTTGAGACGCTTGCACAGACAACCAGATCAATCAATTCAGTAATTAACTTTACCAGCCGAGATCCGTCTTCCATTCTCAGTCTCCTTTTCCAACGAAACATGCAGGGCGGGTTTGCCGGAAGACAGCCAGCCGAGATGCCTGACAGCCGCTGCAGGCCGACTCTCTTCGATTGTGCAGACACCTGATAGACACGAACGACTTTCCGTCAAAGTTTGTTTCCTGCCGAAAAGAAGCATGCAGGCCGTCTTTTCCTGGGCAGACAGCAAGCCGCCTGACAGACGGTGCAGGCCGAATCCATTGCTGTGTTCATTTCAGCAGGCAGCCTGTTCAGTCATGCAAGGAGTGCTTTCATTTGCCATTCGACCTGCAAAGCAAGCTGCTCCAATCCAGGCAGCGAGCCTGGAACAGTACGTAGCAGCACAGGACTTACTTTCAGAACACAGCTAGAAGAGAGGCACAAACACACACTGGGCAGCGAGCCTGGAACAGAAAGAACAACACAGGATTTACTTTCAGAACACAACTAATTAGGTGAGAAACACACACACACACAGACAAGTGGGAGACAGACAAAGGTAGCCAGACAGACAGACAGACAGCCATGGCCTTGCAAGCCCTGGAGTACTTGTGCAAGTTCTCCGACAGCGACATCCAGACAGCTGGACGCCAGATAGACAGTGAGAAAGTCCGACGACTGTGTCACAGCTTGGTGGACTGCCTGGCCCAGCGAGTGACACAGACGGACTCAGGGCAGACAGCCGCTGCATCTGCCGCACCTGCAGACAGCCAAGCCAGCCAGGCCTCTCCTCGGAAAAGGAGTGTGAGCAACAAGAGGGGCAAGGTGGACCCTTACAAGACAGACAGCGGTGCCGCTAAAGGTAGTGGCCAGCAGGCAGGCCAGGCAGGAGGTGCCGCTGCTGGTGGTGGCCAGCAGGCAGGCCAGGCAGGAAGAGACAAGAGCAGGCCGCCGACAAAGAACAAGCTGCCGAAAGACACTCAGGCAGACCAGGTAGCGCCACCGCCAGCTCCGCCAGCTCCGCCACAGACGAGCCAGTGGTCTGGCCAGAGTCAGAGCAGCCAGTCAGATTGGGGCAGCCAGTCAGACTGGTGGTCGACCAAACCTTGGTGGGAGTGGGAGAAAGAAAGCCAGACAGACAGCCCACCAATCCCGTCGACTGGACTGGTTGTGGCGAAAGGCAGACAGATCGGAGGCAGGGGCAGGTACAGCCATGCGCAGAAGACGTACTTCTGCATTGTCCAATGCTTGAAATGCAAGGCCGAACCTTGCAACAAGAGGATGGAGGCAGAGGTGGACGGCCACTGGCCGCACTTCTGCCGTGCCTGCAAGCCCCACGGGGCGCCTGACCCTAAGTGGTAGGGCAGGCAGGCAGGCAGGCAGTGGCCGTCGACCTCTGCCTCCATCCTCTTGTCAGCCAGACAACTAGACAGACAAGGCAGTGGCCGGACAGCTAGACAGCCAGACAGAGACACACCCTTGCAGGCAAGAAAAAAAATCGCCTTCAGAGTGGGAATCGCTGACTCATCAATCAAGCAGATAGAAGCAGATAGTGATTGTGCCTGTTGGCCAGGCGCCCGCGACCTGCCGCCAGACAGCCGTGTCAGCCCGCGACCTGCCGCCAGACAGCCGTGTCAGCAGTGTACGGGCCCACAAAGAAGCTGTGGCTAGCAGAGTAATTAATTATTCGGTGGAAACCGTTCCGAACAAAACCTGCCTTAGCCTAAACGGCCCTAAACTCTGTGGGCTCTTCTATTCATGGATGTGCAGCCCAACCTAAACCTTTTGTGGTCAGAGAGAGGGGATTTGCAGTTTGCAGCGAGTCCGTGCCCCGTTTTTCAGAGAGGCAGGCAGTGCTGATTGCTCGCATTGCTCACGTTGTGGAAGCTCGCAGCCAGCAAGCAGCACACGTTGTGGAAGCTCGCAGCCAGCAAGCAGCAGACCGGAAAGCCCCTGTGAAGAAGACAGCCAGACCAGCAGGCCGGGCGACTCAAGAAAGCCCTTAAAATTCTTTCACAAAGATGAATGCTGGCAGGCAGTCAGCATGGCCAGCCAGGAAGCAGCAGCAGCCACAGCCAGACAGGCTGATTCGAAACCTTCCTCCTCAACCTAAATCCTAAACCATAATGAAGAAATTAATTAATTACAAGGGTTTGGGGTTGTAATTAAAAGGGTTGCTTGAGAGGTTGGAAGGTGATTTCGGGCTCCGAGGCAGCCAGGCAGTGAGTGTGCAAGGCTTCAGGGAGTTCAGGGTTTCTTCGGAGGTTGGAAGGTGGGGTGGGGCTCAGAGGCAGCGAGGCAGTGAGTGCGCGAGGTTTCAGGGAGTTCAGGGCTTCTTCGGAGGTTGGAAGGTGGGGTGGGGCTCAGAGGCAGCGAGGCAGTGAGTGTGCAAGGTTTCAGGGAGTTCAGGGCTGGGAAGTTGGGAGTAAGTACTTAGTAATTAACTAATCAGTACTAGTAGTAGTAATAGTAGTAGTAGTAGTAGTACTAGCAGTAGTCATT